GCCTTTCCCAAGAAGCTTCCGGTAGGCCCCGGTAGGCTGAGGCCCAGTCCACACAATTCAGGCCCTGGGCCTGTAGTGGTTGCTCGCGCCCAACTTTCAGCGGCTTGTGTTAGGCCCACATCCCGTATCCAGCCCAGGGCCTGCCTTCGATACATTCACACAGGCTGCCCAGGGCGTGGGTTCTTCCAACCAACTGGCGCTGCACAACTGCCAGAATTTCCTTGAGTTGCATGGTGACCGAAATAGGGGTCATCAGGCCCTTGTCGTGCCTGCCTTCACTTAGGGCGGCCGACGTGCTGCGTGGCAGGGCCTGAAAGGGGCTCATCGGGGCTTCAGCCTCGCATTCCCTCCTCCATAACTTCGATAGTCCTCTGAGAAGTTCAGTCTTCGATAACCTGGCGCTTTCCCTTCTGCAGAGATTTCTCGTAGTGTGCTACGACTTGAGGAGCGGTCTGCATGAGTTCCTCCCGGGTTGGATAAGTATGATGTCGGAACCGAACGCGGTACTGCAGCTTCGGCTTCGGAGGACGTCCCCTGCCTGTGGGTCTCGGAACTGGCAGCTCCCTGTGATCCACTATGTCATCAATGTCCACTTCTCCATCCATGGTTGGGGGCAGCATTGAGCGACGAGAAGGAAACTCATCTGTTTCCTTGAAAGGTGCAAGTTTAGAGGCGTGAAAGACAGGGTAAGTGCGAAGATGACCAGGGATCCGGACTACATAAGATGGCCCATTCGGATCAGTCCCAACTACATCTAAGACTTCCCAAGGCCCAAAGTACTGAGGCATAAGTTTGCGGGAAATCCCGTACTCCTATTCTCAGACTCTATCATTACCGCCTGTGCCTTCTGCATCTGCTCTACCGCCTGCGGCATCTTCTGTTCATACCGATAGGCAAATTCTATGGTGCCTGGTGCAGCAGTTGACTGATTATCAGGAAGAAGGAAGTCTAAGGGCAGTCTAGGCTTGAAAGTCAACAGTAAACTGTTTGGGCTCACCCCGGTAGCGCTGTGTACAGCGTTGTTGTACAGGCTGGCGATGAGTGCAAGATTCTCATCCCAGTCCACCTGGTTGGGCTTGATGTAATGCCTCAACAGGTGTTGTATAGCGCGGTTCAGTTGCTCCGCCTGGCCATTGGCCTCTGGGTGATTCCCAGAAGTCATCTGCAACTGGGTTCCCTGCTCCGCAGCAGCGACCTTCCACAACTCACTAGTGAATCGGACATCCCTGTCACTCACTATGGATTTGGGCAAACCAAAATCCGTGACCCAATTCTCTTTAAACAATCTGATGACGTACTCGGTTTTCGCAGTCTCCGGCATGGCTACTAATCTAGCATACTTACTAAATCTATCCACGATGACGAAGATGTGTCTCATCCCACTCTTGCTGGTGACCAGCGTATCCATGAAGTCCATGGACAAGCTTTCACCAGGCCTTTCCGGAATCGGAAGGGGCTTCAGGAGCCCAAAGGGAGCCTGAGTACGTGGCTTGTCACGCTGACAGACTTGACAAGTCTCCACGTACAGCTGGGCATCTCGCATCATCGTGGGCCACCTGAACCGCTGCAACAGATTGGCTGCGGTCTTCTTGTACCCAAAATGGCCGGTGGCATCATGGCACTCACCTAAAAACAAACTACGCAAAGACTCTCTATTTGGAACACAAAATCGTTTATTCCCTGCCTTCTCAAGGAACAGTAAGCCGTTGACCAACTCAAACTCAGCAGAAGTTTTTTTATCCTTCGCCTCTAGTCTGCGTATGATCTCAGACATAAACTGGTCCTCGTGATAGGCTTCCACCAAAGAGCGAGTTACATCGTCCGTCGGATCGAACTCAGTTATCAGCGCACCTGAGAAATCAGGTCTACGCGACAAGGCATCTGCAACCTTATTGTGCTCCCCTTTCAGATACTGAGGGTCAAAGTCATATTGCTCAATGACTTCGATCCAACGCTTCAAAGTGTCAGAAAGGACCGGCTGAGTTCTCATCCATCTCAGAGTCTGATGATCAGTTCTGAGGATGAAGAACCTCCCAAGGAGGTAGTGCCTCCAATGGGTCAGAGCCTTGTACACCGCATAGAGTTCCTTCTCATAGGTTGATTTTGCCRACTTCTGARWCRRCATTTTCTTAGACATGTACTCSACTGGCCTCAACTTTGGCCCCTCCTGCTGCGCAAGCACGGCGCCAATGCCATATTGGCTAGCATCCGTGGTAACCACAAATGGCTTGTCAGGATCGGGAAGTTTCAAGACCTCATAGTGCGTCAACGCATGCTTCAGATGTCTGAAAGCAGCCTCGCACTCGTCTGTCCACTCCCATGGTGTGTCAAGGCGGGTCAGATCAGTCAAAGGGGCGGCCACTATGCTATAGTTCTTTACAAAAGTTCTATAGTAGCTTGTCATCCCTAAGAAAAATCTCATCTCAGTCACAGACTGCGGACGTGGCCAATCACGAATGCTGGCCACCTTCGCGTCATCGGGCTTCAACCCTTCCGCGGAAATCTCATGACCCAAGTACAAGATACGGGTGCAGCCAAATTCGCACTTCTCATCGTTAATCTTGAACTTGTGCTGACGAAGGAGACTGAGGACTTTATCTAGATGTGCCACGTGCTCCTCAACAGTCCTACTAAAGATAAGTATGTCATCGAGGTACACGATAACAAACTTGCCTAAGTAGTCATGAAAGATCCGATTCATAGCGTGCTGAAAGGTGCCAGGAGCATTGCACAAGTCGAATGGCATCACCACAAACTCGTACAGACCGTACCTGGTCTGAAAGGCGGTTTTGTGCTGATCCTCAGGCCGGATTGCAATCTGATGGTACCCGGACTTCAGATCTATCTTGCTGAAGTACCGACACCCTTGCACTCTATCAAGCAAATCATCGATGCGCGGTAGGGGCTCCCTGTTCTTCACTGTGATGGCATCGAGGCCCCTATAATCAATGCACATCCTCAAAGTGCCTCCCTTCTTTGGAACAAATAGAACTGGAGACCCATAAGGGGAGACACTCAGCCCGATCCAACCCTTCTCTATGAGTTCCTTGAGTTGGCGGCGAAGCTCATCAAGCTCGCCTGGAGACATCCTATAGATCCTACCCTTCAGGATGCTAGACCCTGGGATAATCTCTATAGCGTGGACGACCTCCCTATCAACAACCCCTGCTGGCTCTTCAAATAGATCAGGATATTTGGCAACTACTCCCTCTATCTCCGGCGGCATTTCCATCGGCTCGCCTGCAGCAGAGACGTAAACTAGATGCATACCCTCCTCCTGATGTTGCTTATAATAATTATAGAATGCGGCCACACCCATGCATCTGTGGGACTCAATCAGACTACTAGCTTTGAACTTATGTAATCTGGCGGTCCCTCCACTTGGCAAAGTGTGTTTGACCACTTTTCGATCCCAGTCGAACTGGGGCTGTGCAACTGAGAGGTAGTACATACCTAACAATATGTCCATGGGGAGATCGTCGCTCACCAGGAATGAGACACGATGCCTCAATTTCCCTCCCGCGTACGGGAACAGACACTCAACGTCCTGAAGGTAGTCGTTAACTACCATGCGTTGTTTGTTGGCACAAGTCGACTCCACAGGTCGACTCAGGCGCTGCACTCGCCCCTGTAAGCGCAGCCTCTCAACGCACGCACGACTAATGAAATTCCTCGTCGAGCAAGTGTCATAATAAGCCTCGGTCTTGCGATCGCCAATGACTACCTCACTGACGAACATCTCACCCTTAGGAGCTTTGATTAGTGTCGTCCAAGAAGCTAGTGGGTCTGATCTAGACCACTCCTCCTCTAGCTCCTCTAAGGACTCGAACACATTCATCGAACAGAGGGTCGATGGGTCCGAATGTGTTTGCGGGACGACGGGGGAGTCAGTAGCTTGGGCCATCTCTCGCGATGGTGAGGGTGTGTCCACCACCTTGACCCTAGCAGGAACTACTATTCCTACTGGCCCGACATGTTTCCTGGAGCAGTGCCTGAAGTACTGGCAACATTGCTACCAACGGAAGCGGAGGATCCCACCGCCTGCCCCATAGTAGGCGGGATCTTCTCGGTAACCTTCTTGTTGCGGCACTTGAATTGGTTATGGCCATATTGACCACACCGAATACAAGCTTGTCGGGTGTACCGGTCTCTCCACACGTCCTCTGTGAGACCCGCTTTCTCCCATGGGGAAGCATTGGGGTCAACTTGACTCCTGGACCGGGAACCTCCTCGGCGTCTACCAGTCCCCTTACCTTTTTGTTGAGTTACGGCAGTGACTACTCCACCCTCTGAAGCCTCTACGCTGCCTGCCTCTGAACCAGTTCCCAACTGGGGGTCGTCGTCCAACTCGATGGTTGAACCATCGTTGTCGACAAACATGATGCGCCCCTTCGCCTTCCAATTGGGAGGCAATGTCTTTTTCCTACCGTTCGTCGATGGGTTATGTCTGTGCCCTATCTTAGCTTCAAGGTATAGGGCCTTCTTGCTGAATGGTGGAAAGTTGTGCACATTGATGTTAGCCTCAACTGCCAATTGATTCCTGATTGGCATTGGCAGACACCTCAGGTAAGTCGTCAGTAAGACTTGGGGGTCATAGCAGACCCCACGGACACAGATCAAACGCTCTACTGCATCCGTGGCCTCCCTAACTGACTTGAACGAACGAGCGCTCAAAGTCAGGATCGCGTCAGTGGCCTTTTGAGCCTCCTAAGGATCATGCCACCTTTCCTCCACCAGCTTGAGGAAGTCATCCAGCTTTTGGCTGGCTGCCCAAGCGCGGAAGTCATGACCGTATCCCTGTAGTTGCACTAACCCACTCAACCATCTTGTTGTGCTCCCTTCTAGATAGGAGGCAGCCACAAGCACTTCCTCGTGCGGCAAGGTCAACTTACACTTCACATAGACCGGCACCGCCCTCAACCATATGTCGAGATTCTCGCCCCTCTTGTCCCCTGAAAAGGGTTTAGGAGCAGCGATTGCCGTCTTTGGAACCCATTTAGTTTGTCCCTGCACCTGTCCCACTACTGGCTGTGGACTCTGGGGAACAGGCTGCTGCACCTATTGCTGCTGGGGCTGTGACCCCTGTGGCTGCACAGGTTGGGAGACAACAGATTGCCCATTGATGGCAACCTGAGACGGAGGTTGGGATAACACTGTCTATGCAGGAATCTGAACACTAGGTCCTGCAGATAACCCTCCTGATAGCGGCATGCCCAGGGAAACGATCGCGACCGATGATGGGGCTACATATGGGGATACCCCAATAACCGGTGGGACGGAAGGAGGAGGATGTGCCACGGGCCAGGGACCAGGCCCTGACGATAATGGAGCTGCCTGCAATCGTCCAACCAGCCAGGCTAGACTCTGCTGAATGTGTTGGAGGATGGCAGTCTGATGGTCTTGCGTCTCTATGACTCCTAGCAGGGTCGTCCGAACTACCCTCACATCCGCATCCATATTGGTCAGATCCATTTCCTCTAACTGCCTAGCGTCCGCTTCTCTTCGCTGCATCCTGGCTACTCTTCTAATCATTCTCTCTTTCTCCGCCTTTATCTCCCCTAAAGCCTTCTGTGGTTGTGCCTCTTGCAGGGCAGCCTGCTGTATGACGATCTCCTCGGGTGACAACACAATTGATTGGCTTGCCATTACGCCAGCCGACTGACTCTAGGTCTGCGCCGCAGTTGACCCTACAATTCCTGAACTCCCCGCCTGAGAGGATTGTTGTGCAGCGCTAGCCATGGCTACTGAAGCAGCGGCTTCACTTGCTAAAGCTCTGCTGGCTTCTGCGTCCCTAGCTCTCTGCTGCTGCTGCAGCCTCTCCCTACGCTGGCGGAACAGGTATCTGTCGCCCTCTGGTCCTAATGCCAAGTGCGCAATTGGGCGTCTTGCTGATCGTAGGATCCGGTCGTCTAGTTGCTGTTCCTCCCTATCGCTCATAAGCTACAGCACTAAGCACAATCTGCGCTAGGTTACAATAGGTACCTACCACAGCGTAATGCTCAGACCAATTTAAAATAAATAAATAATTAATTGGTGGCTAATTCGGAGTAGATACATTTGGGTCCAACAGGTAAGTGCAGATTCCTACAAATAACACTACTCTACTTTGATTAGTCCGCAAACAGAAGCACAATGAACACAGTTCTAAACTATGTTGTCTGTCAGATGTCAATGGTTGTACATCTAACTAATCAAAATAAAAATAATGTCATTTGTTGGGTCTGTTCACAGCATGGAATCTTTCTCAAACTTATCACCTGGAATCTACCCTTTCCCCCAATCCCACTTGATTGTCACTTAGTGTCAGCGTCCCTGAGCAATCCAGTAGCGTGCGTGACTAAAGGTGTGCACAACGCCCACCCCTGTGCCCCGAGTAGCTGCTGAGCTGGCCAGCCTTGCACCTTGTTTATCCTCGCGTGCAGCGAGCCTTACACCAACTGGCTGATCAAGAGGCAATTTAACGACCGCCCCCAAGTGTCATCAGGAATTATTTTACGTTGCAGCAGGACGACAATCACAGCCAGTGGTTTCCCCTGCCGGTACTCGTCTCCCCATAGAGCTGGCCTGCTCTTCAGTACCCCTTCTATGAGCGCAGCAAGCAGACAAGGACAAAGCAGCAAAGCATGCGTGCTCTACTCCCCGTGGGTTGGCATGGTGACTGTGACCCAGTGCTTCGTCCAGGGCCCTTCAGAAAGCACCGCCCTCTCCTTCCAGATGCTCCACGGGAAGAATGTCGACTCTCAAGGTTGAGCGCACACAACACCTCGCATGAGAGGACTCTCAAGATGGAACTCACAACCTCATGGTAAGAAGTGATGAAGAGGGTAGATAAGGTTAAGAGCAACGTACCTCATTATAGCTGGCCCCCAACCACAGATATTCTCACCAGATGACCTGATGGCGATTGCGATGACCAGTCACTGCTTCGGCACAACCAGCATTATCTCGCCGTTCCATCTCAGCATCAATCAACCATCAGATAGTTCTCATCACACTGCGAACACCCTATATACACACCATAGCCTTCCAGGCGATCCCCTCACCTCCTGGGTCACCTAATCTTGTCTCCGCCCTCCTCACTACACACCACCTACGGCCACACTCACCAAGCAGACCGCATGTATGTACCGCATAAGGCAGAAGACAAGCGCCAGATGAGCGCAACGTATCACAGCTCTGATACCAAATTGCAAGGAAGATGAGTGATAGCGAACTTCAGCAATCAAACACATCACACACATAAGACCAGATAGTCGTGACCTCGAACAAACAGCAGCATTGCATCACGAGTTCACCAAATAAGAACACACAAAGAACTCATAATTGACAATGCTGAAATAGTCTCATCATCATCATCAACGAAGAACCAATGTTGATGTCATATCTGGCACTCGGCGCCCAGACTACAGATGGCAGATCCTATCTAGCCTATACTACAATGCCGAAGATGACGACAACAGCTTCACCGAAGTACGAGCAGATAGTGGCCAATGCCGCACGCTTCCAGCACCAGGTATGTCTCTCGCTTCACTCACAACCTCGTTCCCCAACACACAGATGCCACATGCACCCAAGGACCACCCTGCGCCACACC